AAAAAATTTCTAGTCGTTATAATTGCGGTTTTTTAAAAATTTTTTAAAAAACAATTAAATTTAATGTACTTCCGCATAAATTAATTGCTTTGACATTTCGATGACAATCAAAAACAGCTTTAGAGACGAGGTAATTAAAATTGTAGTCGTAAGAGACTTTTTTTACATTAAAACGCTCTTTCGACTACACTATATGGGTATATATATATATATATATATATATATATATATATATATATATATATATATATATATATATATATATATATATAGTATTTACAGATGCGGTAAAAGATTTATAGTAAAGGTTTTTAAATTGAATAAGATTATTATAATTTGTTTTATAATTGTTTCTAAAATGTACAGCTTTTGATTTTCTATCTTTCTGTTTTTTTTCATCCTTAAGAAACTTTTTCACAACTATAGTAAAAACAATCTATAATTTAAAAACTTTTATATTTATAGTAACTTACAAATCATTATTAAATTGCAAAAATTATATTTCAAAATTATTTAAATTTTAAATAACATTGAAATAAAAATAAATTGAAAATTGTTTTTTTGTATTAAAATCAATGGGTCTTATGCATTATTTGGTTTTACAGAAAATAATAACATATTTTAATTAAACAATAATCAAATTAAAAGAAAATTATTTGTTGATCAAAAAAAAAAAAAAAATTTAATACTTACTTTTTTTTCTTTTTATTTTGAACACTGTTCATTACCACAAAAAGAAAAATCAAATTAAAAAAAACTTTAATTTTGTTTTGTTCATATATCATATAAAAATTTGACATTAAAAGTTAACTTAAAGGAATGAGAATTTTCAAAATTCAAATAAGAATTATATATATATAACTTTTTTATTTGTTGATAAATAATGAAAGCTGAATAACCCACTTTCATGCATTATTGATGCCAAAAAATAATTAATATATTTATTATTCTTATTCAGAAAAAAAAAACTCAAGTTTATTTATGTCACATTTAATTGCAGTTTGTAACTACAATTAAATATGAATTGAACTCTGAATTAATACCACCAGCTGGCAATGTGTAATTCTTTTATTCATTTAATTTTTTAAATACTTTGTTTATTGTTAAATAAAGAATTACCTATCAAGAAGATTAATAATCTTTTCTACTTATGAAGAAAAAGTTTGACAAATTTTATAAACTTTTTAAATAATAAAAATTAACTTAAAAATAATAACAAGTGTATAAATAAATCGAATAAACAACCAAACTTAAGTTATATAACCTATTTGAAACTCTATTTTTGAAACTTATTGCAACATTTATGGTTGTCTTTGAATAAAGTCTTTATTTTTAAACTTACTAAGTAGATAAAAGGGAGCAGAAATACTACTATACTTTTTTACATACTATTTTAACTGTTTTGTAGTTATTTTAATTCAACTGAAATTTACACTAAAATATCAATTTATATCACAAAATCTTAACCCAACGTTATAAAAACTATTTTATTGTTATGTTTTAGAAAAATATTTTCTCAATAAATTTATAAAATAATAATCTAAATAATAACAAAACTAAGCTTTGTTCTTATTTAAAAAATTATTTTACAGATATGTAACATTAAATTTACTGCATATCTAGCAAAACTATGGTAAAACCAAATTTATTTTTGTCAAACCAAACTAAATTTATGTCTGTATGCATTTCAGAAAAAGTTAATTTTTTGTCAATTAAAAATTTTTCATTAAAGTCTTTTAATCCTAATCCTAAATTTTAAAATTTTAATTTAATCCTAAAAAATAATATTTTTTAGGATTAAAGTGCTTGAAAATTTTTTAAAACTTTTAAATTTGCCAGCAACTGTAATGCCTTTCAACAGATATTTAGATAAAGGGGATATTTCACTGATTAGAAAATCAATTTTCTTTTTACAGTTTTTTTTTTAAAAAGTAACTTAAATATTATAACCTCTTTTAAGTTTTATGATGTAAGAAAAAGGTAATATTTTGAATAGTATATACATAGATTTTTTGTTGTTGTTAAACTAGAGAGTAAAACATAGAGAGTATATACATAGATTTTTTGTTGTTGTTAAACTAGAGAGTAAAACAGCGAAAAATCAAACATAAATTTCTCTGGATAAGAGAGTAAAGATATTTTGAAAGGTTATTCATAAACATGGCAACTGCCACAAATAGATTTTTGAAGACTATTGTTAAATATTTTTAAATATTAAGTATTAAAAAAAACATGTGCTTTTGTTTTAAAACAACAGTTTTTAAATAATTGAAGTGATATGATAATGGCAAGTTATATCTGAAAAACAACAACAAAATAAAAATAAAAATAAAAAAAATCACTCTTGTTCATTTGCTTTGATAATCAAATTTCTTAAATCATTTACAAATAATCATAGATGAAAAAACCTCTAACAATCAAATATTTTATTTATCTAATTTCAATATTTTATTTTTAACATTTATGGTGCGGTGTCATACAGTTACCAATAAACATATTTTCAATTACACTTTATGTTTTAAAACAAAATAAACAAATCAAAATAAGCACACTGTCAATAACTTTTTTTGTATAAAAAAAATTTGTTATTAATTTTTTTTTATACAAAATTTTATTTTATATAATATATAAACAAGAACATTTTTTTAATAAAACCACAACTATAATACTTTTTTAAAAAACTTAATCTTTAAAAGCTTAGTATCTATAAAAACTTAGTATGTAAAAATAAAGTAAAAAACTAGGTTGTTAAACACAGGCAAAGATATAGATTTAGGTGAAAAAAACTTTTTAACAGTCTTTTTTAAAAATAATCAAGTTATTCATTGCACAATCACTTGCTTTTTTCAAGAGAGAGAAAAAATAATAATAATTAAAAAAAACACATTGCAATAATAGATACTAATTAAATATGTTTCACTTGTATCAGAGTTGAGTTTCTAAAATTAAGTTGAGCCACTATCAAAATTTTTTCTACTTAATAAGTATTTGTGTAAACTTGTAACAATTGTAAAGTTTAAATAATGAAGTTATTACCTGATTTTACAAATAATTTATGCTAGTCATATATCATTTATTGTTCATTAGGATAGTTAATACTTTATTAGAAAAATATATGAAATTTATGAAGCAAAAATTATTTATATATTTAAGATAAACTTAAATAAATGTATAAGATTATTTCAGAAGATGGACAAATCTTGGAGTAAAAAAAAATATATATATATATATATATAAAATAAACTTTTCTGAAATGCTATATAAAAGTTTTGTTCTACATAACTTTCTAAAAAATAATCTTATTCTACATAACTTTCTAAAAAATAATTTTATAATTCTCATCACCAAACTTTTTATAACTTTCATCACTCAAATCACAAAACTATTGTAATAAACAGAAGTTTGTTAATGTTAAGTTTATTAATAAGTATTTAAAGAGTACTTTAACTTTATTAAAGTTTTTAAAATTTAGTTCAGTCAAATCACTGTTGAATTTTTTGCGCAGGAAAGCACAAAAAAATAAAAAAAATAATTATAATTATGCTTTGCACTGTGCTTTTCTCCAAATAGTATCAACATCCTGAGACAACAAGGCAACTCTATTATTATACTTATTCTAACTAAATTTGGAATACACAAGTTTAGTATAACAGTACAAGACATTATTCTTGCTTCATTATAGTTTACAAGTTTTATTTTTAAGCAATACTATTAACCATAATTTGCATAGCACTATAAATAAAAAATAATACACAAAACTCTTTACAATTTCATACTCCTAAAATAAATAGTTATCATTTCTTCTAGTTAATTGTGTTAAACACAGACATAGACACACACAAAAACACTTACACACTAAATGTTATATAAAATACCATTTATTTATAAAACATTTATTTTTCAAATGTTAGAATTTATAACTTTATTTTTTTTTTTACAAATTTGTTTGGGTAATTTAAAAAAATTCCAGTAAATCTTATGTAACGGAATTTAGCATAAAATATACAATTAAAAAAAAGGTGAAAAAAAAAAGAAAAAATCCGCCATTTTGGACGCCGAATAAAGAAACAGCTGCTCAGACATAAAAATATCACGTGAAAAAGGCCAATCAAAAGACCAACATTTCATATTCTTAAAGAACAATTGGTTTTATCAAACAGCTTAAATATCACGTGACAATTTCTGAATGCGCATCTTTACTGCAAACCTATGTTCAAGAAACATGAGAAAAGTAAATTAAATAAGAATAACATACTCTGATTTGATTCTTTAAATTTTCTGCTTCTTGTCGAAGACTATCTATTTCTGAACCACTCATAATTCAATAAATATTCAATTGCTTTTATATATTATCTATAAAAAATATTACAAACATGATACACATTAACGAATAACATAACTGTCTCTTCTCTCGTCTATAATACATAACCAGTACTTTAAAATCTCAAATTTTAGCAAATCTAATATAACATTTCAAAATTTAGTAATTTTACAGATTATATTTTGACTAATAAACATGTTATAAAAACTAAATTTCATAAAGAATTTCTTCTCGTGTTAAATTGACCGCACTCCTCTAATGTTAAATCAAGATGGCCGCCAGACATTGGGAGTGTCATAAATTAAAATCGAAACATTTAAAGAACTAACCAATCGCGTTACGAGATTATGAAGTGAATTTCTAATAAAACTACAGACCAGATATTCATTAATAATTAATACAAAAAGTTTGAAAACCTTTGATGTAACAGACCACTTTTAAAAGTTTATTTTATTGAATTATCTTTATATTAAATTGGAACATTTATTTAGATAAACAAAAAAAGAAAAAAAATGAAACGTATGAAAACAAAAAAAAGTAGTTATTGAGCTGTATTAGAGATGGCTGACTTTCCATTTTATTAAAGCGACTCTATAAATTGTTTATCATTGTCGGTTTACTTCGCAATTTAAAAGATTTTGGGTTGAATAATAAAATTGAAAAGTAGACTATAGAGCTAACTAGAGGCGGCAAACATACTCTAAATATTAAGAAACATAATTGTTGGTTGAATTAGAGATAAACAATAGTAATAAAACTATATTTATCTTGTTTTATGGGCTTTTGAGATTTAACATTTGAATTTTTATAATTTTAGTTTTTTTTTAATTGAATTTGTTATTAGTGTATAACAACTAGCATTATAAATCAAATACTCTAGAGACGCAACACCATATTTCAATGCAACAAATGAAAAAGCAACAATTTTCAATACTTTAATGTTTTATGGTATAGTGATACACCTTTTTAAAGTACACGTTGTATTTAAATTAAGTTTATTGTAAAATTTTAACTCTTTATTAATGCCTTTATTACTAATTTTAATTTTTAAGTTAAAATACTTTAAAACAGAATTAAATTTTCGGTAATAAAAATATAAGTGACCAGATGTTAAGATGCTTGAAACATCGTGAGCCATTTTTATATCGCTTTTTTTCTTTATAGCATTTTACGTACACTAGTAGAGTATATTATTTAAAATTATATTTTTATATACATTATTACACTCTACAGTATATTTAGATATATATTATATTCTGCAATATTTTTTAAAGCATTACGGCATTTTAAAATATCACATCATCTCTAACAAAAACTTTAATTTCAATACGTTTTTCATTTTTTTATAAGTAAAGTTTTTACAAGTTAAAGAAACAAAATTAAATAGTTAATTCAAAAATAAAGCAATAAATCTATGTAAAGCGATTGTTGTTATTGATCAAAGGTTGAATTTTAATTCCAGTCTTTAACCTAACATATTTAAACAAAAAATTTTGAAACCGTCTTACATAGTATCTATGATAATCTGTTTTGAGTAATATCTTTAAAGAAGTAATTTAAATAAGCTATAGCAAACTCGTTTTTTTTAAGTTTATAAATGAAAAGAATATAAATATTAATGATAACAATAACAAAGCGAACTAACACACGACAATTTTATATCGTGCAGTGTATTTTGCCTGATTTAAATACAATTATTTACTTGAAGGAACAGCTTTGTTTGCTCGATTATGCAGAATTGATTTTGTGGACGAGGATAAAAGAAATTGAAAAATAACTTTTTTTTATATTCGCCGTTTTTTATTGATTGATAAAAAAATATAGATAAAAAGTTACCTTTTTTTTCGAAGAGTTACAAAAACTTTGACAGGATTATTTACGAAGTAATGCTTGACATTAAAATGTTTTAAAACAGTTTTTGGTAGGCAACAAAAATGCTCCTGTTTTAAAAGGATTACGGGTATCGAGGGCTTTTTAGCGTGCATGATAGGTAGCTTTAAACACGGAGCAAACTTTAAAGTTGCATTTGTATATGTTTATGTCAAATAAGGATTCTTTAAAAAATATGATAATGATCAAAGCCTGAATAAAAAAAACTTATAGTTTTATCCCCATTTTATCCCGAGTTTAAGGACAACGAGGCTATAACAAAAAAGATTTTTTTTTCTTTAACTAAATTTATATTTGTTTCCAGATTTTCAATATTTTACTTGATTTTTAATGGTTTCTAGGATGATATCTTGTGTGAGAGTATATAATGTATTATTTATAAACATCAGAAAAAAGTTTCTCTCGGTTCTAACAATTTTTTATTATGTAAATATTTGCTGGATTATTATTCAGTATCATCAGTTACATGTTAAACAAAATGTTACCGCTCTTTAAATGTCTTGCCTGTTCCTCCACCCAACAATTGCATACAAGTGGCTAACGGAGCCGTTCAGTCAGATAGCCTCGGGAAAGATACTTTAAACAGATTATAAATGGTAAAGTTCTTTAATGATAGTCGAGAAGCTTAGATATCCAAAAAAGTGATCTTAGTAGTATACTCTTTCAGAGTATACTACTATGACAAGATAAACATTAGATGATCCCACCATGTGTGGTTACGACACTTGAAACCTAATTACATTTATGCACACGTTTGTTCCACAGTGCACATTTGTTCAACGCTAGCTGACTGTATGCTTTATCCAATCATAGTGCTGTATTTTGTAATAAAAATATGTTTTTTATGACATTAAATCCTTTACGAATCTTTTTTTTCTTTAACCATTCTGAATTACTTTTACCATATGTGTTTTAGAGACATTGTAGCGCACAATCAAGATCAAATACTAACTCTACACTCATATAAGAGATGCTAACATTTTTTTATTTATTTTATTTTATTTTTAGGTGCCCCAAGAAGGCCAAACGGTCTTGTCACAGAGCACCGTGGAAGTGCATTTAACCAGGAAGTTCACGCCTCCTTCCTTACTGTGACGCGAAAATATGTCCAGAGCTCATATCGAACCTGGATCTCCTGCTTATAAAGCAAGCGCTCTAACCATTGCGCAACGACCGCAATGAGAGTATCGGTGTTATGACTCATCACAGCACCAACATTGTTTGACTGCATATTGAGGTATTCAGTTTCTCCTCCCTTCCAACCTCCTTCCCTTTCATTAAGATTTTTAATACTTGTTTTACTTAGTTTTTAGTTAGCATACTTTGTTTTTTTAAACTCATTTACAATGCATGCCAGGCATTTATTCCATGCACAGATGCGCTGACAGACAATAGATAGCTTACTATACTTTTAATTTTTAGGAGATGGTATATCAAGCTTTGTATTATATACTTCTAGTAGATTATACATAAATTAGTCTAATGGAATTAGTAATGGAAAAGAGTAAACTTTTATTTAAATGTCGAAGCAAAAAGCAGATTAATAAATTTTAAATTTGCCGGAAACGTTGGAATTTTAAGATTTTTTGAAAGACTCTGATGTGTCTGAATTAAAGAGCCATAAGCTTATTGTTCTAATGGATTGACGCTTATCTACACTCTTAAAAAAATCGGTTTTTCAAAAAACCAAATTTGGTTTTACGGCTTGTCCCAATAAACGAACCAAATTTGAATATCTAGAAAACCAATTTATTTCGGTTTTTCAGAAAACCAAAGTAATTTGGATTTCTAGAAAACCAATTTGAATATCCAGAAAATCAAACTAAGTTGGTTTTCTAGAAAACCGACGCTTTTTGGTTTTCTGGATAATCAAAATTGGTTCGTTTATTGGGACAAGCCGTAAAACCAAAAACTGGTTTTCCAGCAATAACGATTTAAATAAAGTTATGTCATAACTTTTAAAACGAAACATTTATGATTATTTTACTAAACTTAGCTCCATGAGTTTTGTTTCATAGAATAGAAATAATCGGCCAGAAATTACAATTTATTACAAAAGATGAAGTTTATTAATTTTTTACCATATTTATATACGCTTTTCATATCTATTTATATAAATATATATAAAACAACTAAAAAGTGGAGAGTTCAAAAAAATAAACTTGATTTAAATAAAATTATTAATATGTTATTAAGTTTTATAATTTAATATTATAAGTTCAAAAAACTAGCAATGTTTTGAATGTTGGCAGGAAGTTTACTCCTTCGTTCAAAAACGTAATGTTCTAGAAAAGACAGGGTTTTTTGTAATTTCTTTGGATACGCAATATCAAAAATATAATATGAGCAGATGACGAGACCCAAACCACAAGTTACATCAGGAACAGAATTGCTTAGTGTCAGCCCGTCAACTACAAGACTTATTCGTGTTGGATTTATAGCATCTCCTTCAATTTTCAGAGCAGGAGTTGGATAGATTGGATCCTAATAAAAAGAAGCATATAATTAATAAATATTAAAAATTGCATTAGTTAACTTTATTAGTATATTTAAATAAATAAATATATAAATAATATATATGCAAATAATTAGAATAAAAACATATAAATGTTAAAAATATTAAAATAAATATTGCATTAAAATAAGCATTGAGTTTTTAAGTGATAAAAATTGAACTGAATAATTTTTTCCATCAATTTTTATTCAAATAAAGGAATATTAAAATGACTTATATGATATAATGATATACAATCATTTAAACGATCAATAAAATTTACTAGCGTCATGGTGAACAAAAGTGCTTCTTCGTCACAAAAAATGCTTGGAAGAATTAAACAATGAAGGTTTTTTATTGTTGCTAAAAATAGAAAAATGAAATAAAAATTACAAAATTAGAGTAGTAATTAAATAATTTTCATGTTAATCTAACAATTATTACCATCACTAATCTCATCAAGTACCCCATTGCATAATGTTTGCCATCTAGCTGACAAAGGTTTTTTTAAATCTATTAACTTCTTCATTCCCTCCTTCATTCTACCCAATAATAACAAGCAGTTATTGTCAATATCTGTATTTGTTATAACTCTTGCTGCTGCAAAAAGCTTAAAATAAAACAAAGAAAACGACTTCACTACGCCATTAAATAAAAAAATATCCTTGAATTCCACCCTAATATTACAAGGACTTTTCTAAAAAATTAGGAAAGTGGTACTCTGGAGCAGCATATGTTATTTAGCTAACCAAAAATAATATTTGCAGACTTTTAAAAAAACAACACAGACAATAAAAATGTTTAATAAACACAGAAAAATTAATTTTGAACTTCCCACGCCAAGGCAGTAAATATATCTTTAAAGATGCAACTAATTGTTTTACAGGATTCGTAGCCAAATATTTATATAAAATTCTATGAATTTTTCCTAACTTTTTTGAAAAATCAGACACATTTCCCTGACTATTTTCAACAATAGTTTTTGTAAAATGTTTGCAACTACTATCTAATGTAATGTAATGGAAATGCTAAAATTGTACATGCTTTAAATGACAAAACTTATAAAACTTAGCTATTAGTTAAGTTGGATATTAGTATGGATCTTATTATTAAGGATGAAAAACAAAATTTACTAAAACACTAAGAAAAACAAAATTTCAAAAAAAGTAAAAAGGTAGCATCAACAAAAACATAATAGCTGAATTGTAAAACGGGCAACTTAATCTGAATTCTCTGATTTTTCAAACTATCTAAAAAAGAAAAAAAAAAACCTGATTTTTTCAGGTTTTCCATGACTTTAGCCAAAATTAACAAATTTTCCAGGTTTTCCATGTATAGTACAAACCCTACTTTATTTAGTTTTATAATTTTAATTTTGTTATGTATTTTTATATATAGTTTATGTTTATTGAAAGTAAATTTCCTTATAAAATTAATAAAACAACTGAAAAATTGTTATTTAAGTTATTGCATTAAGCCGCTATCAAGTTCATTAAATGGGCGACTCATTGCTCATATTCAGGAATGCTGCAGTTTTAAGACAACATTAAAAGAGCAATATAGATACAAAAAAATACTACATAAACCACTTACAACTTTTTCATAGTAAAGTGCTGGGAATTTATTAAGGACATCCAAAGTTCTTTCATTTCGGCATGTATATTTTAATGCCTCAATAGACAAGATAATCTGGTGAGCCAAAAATTCTATATCTGGGCACAGTTTCTGACACTCATTCTTCATGCTTTTTATAATATCTTGAGTTATACCATCATCCACATTCTATTATATAATAATTAAAATATGTAACTAATTTTTTTTATGCTATCAAATCAAATACACTATGCATTTTCTCACATAAATATGTATTATAAATGCTGTGAAATCGTGCTTACCTTATCACTTGAATGATGGCAGTGACGTTTTGCTGAGCAAAGATTAACAGACTCATTCAGCAAGACAGAATTTCGCTTACGACCAGAATTAATTCTAGAGTACTTTATTTTAAACTGTGCAACTTGCTCATCATTTAGAAGAGGACGCCTAACTCGCTTAAATTTTGCCTTCAACAAATGCACAAGAAGTTCCTGACAATAGAATAAAAGAAAAAACTTCTTTAGCTATATAACTTTGTAACACCATTGATATTATTAGTTTTAATTATACAGTTAAATACTCACAGAGCCATTGCAGTGACGAGGTTTTAGAGAAGGATACCTTAGGAAAAGCTCATTTGCTATTTCATAGAAGTTACTTGTACTTGGAAATCTATAAAGCATTTATTTTAGTGAAAAGCAATAACATATTTTATCATTATTGACAGCTATGTTAAGAAATATAAAATACCATTATTTTACCAACTTTGATACTGATAATAAATGTTTACTTTAAAAATTAAAAGATTATACTAGTTTAAATTATAATTTACACAGTAATCAAAATACTTACAACCCGTACTGTTGCTTCATGACATCAAAAAGAAAATCCATAACATACTCCTTTAGTTTTGACCTTTTTGGAATACTAAAGTCTATTTCTTTTCTTTCCACAGCAGCAAGGAGAATAGGGGGCAATGTTAGTTTATCTGACTGAATACTAAAAAATAAATTTAAGACATGAATTATGAAACAACTTTTTATATTATACAGTCCTAATAGTGTAAAATGCGTGCACACAATCTTGGCTAAATATATTGTATCAATTTAATTATTATTTTTTTTTTGTTTAATAATATAACATTTTAAATAAGATAAAATTTAAAAGAAAATAAACAAAGTTATAAATGTTTACAAACAAACAAAACATAACTTACAAAGATTCAGAAATAGTTGGTGCCTCGTTATTGTCACAAACAGGTGATAATGTAAAACTTACATTACATGAGTTTAACGTAGGTGATGAAGACCTTACACATATAACATTCTTTGATGCTAATTCTTTCTTAAAAATAATTCTGTCTTTAATTGGAGGAATTAGTTCCTTTAACATAAAATCATCTATTTCGTTAATAATTGAACCATCAATATCTTCTCCTGTATAACAATATTATAATATTAAAAAAAACATGATCTTTTGAATGAATGTTAAACTGTTTAAATTGAAATAAAAGGTTTGGAGAATATGCAAAAATGTTTAACATATGTTCAACATTACTAAGTATGTATCAAGGTACATTATCATATTTCTGCTATGCTATTATATTTTTATTATAAAATAGACGAAGAATTGGTAAAATGTGTTATATTGTACCAATTCTTGTACCAAGTTATTTTATAAGAAAATCAAATAAAACAAAATTAATTGAAATTAGTGAAAATCTAAAAAACTGATTTTTTTTTGTTGAGTTTTAATCAGTTAAACTAACAACTGAAATATATACAAATGTTATATTATTTTGTTGCTAAACTACGTAAAGTAACTAAAAGTTGTCCATCAGACATTAAATATCCATCTAAAGGTTCATGTGATACTTCTTGTCCAGAAAGAATAACAACCCAAGAAGATATTTCAATTAGATTATAAGCATGTAAATAAAAAAGAAATTTTTCACAAGAACACAGTTTACCACACAAGAACCATAAACCATTAATTTTAAGGATATACTTGAGTGACATAAAAATAGGAGTACCATCATCTAGAATGTTAAGAACAATAAAGTCACCAGTTTGGTAGGAACAATGATTCACTGAAACATTTGTAACTTTCCACAATTGAGTGTTTTGATCAAGTAAAAAGTTATGTGTAAGTTCTACTTGAAGACCTTCAGGTAATGAAGTTAATGATATAATACTACCATTTCTTTGATTGTGTTGCTCAATTTTCATAAAATCAACTGAATTTAATTCACAACACTGGCGCATTTGATGGCGCTTAGACAATGTATAAGTGATATTTTTAAAATTAGAAACAACACGAGAAAGACACTTAAAGTAGTTGTGCTTGGCTTCAAATCGCATGCACCATAAATGTCGCAAAGGTCCAAATAGTTCAATTTGTCTAGGATAATGCACCATGTAGTGCATTTTAGGAATAAAATTTCCAGGCCATATATCCACAAAAGAATTAACAAATGATGCAATCATATAAGCTAAATATCCAAGAGAATCTCTTTTAATAACTGGTGAAAATATGATATCAGCTATATTTCTAAGTTCAAGATATACCAACCAGTAGGCTGGGCAGTCATCATTAAAACTAGATATGTAACCAAATATTATAATTGGCAGACATCTAAAAAAACACCACAATTCAGATGCTTTTCCAATTATACGACCCTTCTTAGACAAAACTGATGCACTTAGAGGCACTGGTTTACTTTTTTTTATCATTAAACCCAAATGAAAAATTACATATTTCATAATTAAGTTGTTTAAGAGAAATAATGTTATGTGATATCAATTTTTGGATAACTAATTTTAAAACCATAGGAACTATTCCTTCTAAGAAATCATGGTGGATGTCAGGTGGAAAACTTTCCAAAACATTAAAAAATGGTAGATTATTCAAGCAGCACGATTGATTTATTCCATAAACAGATTTGTTAACAGGAAATTTATTTATTGCATTCAACTGTTGATTGTAGTTGTGATCTGTTCTTAAAAAACAGTCAATGTGATATTGTTTTAGCCTTATTGTTTCAAAATGAACTAGACAGGTTCGACAAACCCTACCTGAACTAAAACAGCAGCGAAAACCTGCTAGTGCATGAGCACCTAAGTTGTCAGCTGAAACTGTTGCAAGACTTACTTTAAGTGAATGAGTCATACTGTTAGTTTTTAAAATAATCCCATTATTACTCAACTCTATAAGTTCATCAATTAATGGTTTCATAATTTCAGAATAAGAAGTTTTTTTCAAAATATTAGAACGAACCAATGCAGCTAAATGAACTTGAGACATTTGAGAGCGATAGCGTGGATGCAAATTTCCAATAGTGTAATAAATACCAATAATTTTATGTTTGCCTCTCTTGGAGCCTAGAGGATTAACAGATTCAAACTCATCTATAAACAAATGAATACGAATTACAGTTGGGTCAGTGGAAAACAAAGGATGTTTTTTAAAAATTTCTCCATCATGAAAATCACTTAAATAGTCTTTATAAGTGTCTGAAATTGTTATATTATTTAAATAACTACCAAATTCATTGAAAACCTCTTCGTTTGAAAGTATTTTTTCAAGATTACGTTTCAAGCTTATATAGTGGAATTTATGAACTTTTTTATTTGTATCAATAATTTTAATTTCTATTGGCTCAACCATAGAAAGAGTATTTTTACAAAACTTAACAAGTTGATATTCATTCATAAAATGTGAAAAGACATCACACAGAAGGTCACTATCTAAAATACTTTTAAATGTAGCATCTATCGGCATTGGTAAGCACTTCTCAATGACATCGTTGTATGATGTCAAAAAGGTTTGAAACAGTTCTTTAAAATCAGATACAAATTCAATGTGAACTTGGCTGGAAACTACATGTTTTTCTTGCAATTTCAGAAACATTAATCCAACACAATATTTTAATTCAGACACAATCTTTAAAAAAAGAGAGTAACTATCAACTACTACTTTAGAAGTGTCACAACTAAAAATTAATTCTTCTTTACCAACCACAGACACACGATGGTCATTACCTTTTTGTTTTAAACCATAATTCTTATGATAACGGTAAACATGCTTACGAAAACTATTTATTTTATAAAATGTTTTTTTGCAACTTGTATAACAGCATTCTACATTAAAGTTAAAATCATGGCTGTGGAAAACCGTTAAATGTCTCAGCAACTTAGAAAGGGAAATGGTTGTTAGGTGGCAAATAGAGCAAAAAAATGTATTTTCCATGTCACAAATATGATTTAAACAAATTATAGAATACCTTTAAAAGCATCTATATAATTAGTTAATCCGATGGAATCTAGCCAACTGCAACAATCCAATAAATCCCATTGTTTAACGTTTGCCTAAAAAATATTTAAAAAACTAAATTTTATTGTGACTTTTAATTTTTATCGGAGAAAATTAGGACAAAAATTATAACTTATATATGAAAATTAATGTTTAAAGAGAAATATATATATATATATATATATATATATATATATATATATATATATATATATATATATATATATATATATATATATATATATATATATATATATATATATACTATTTATATGTTGACTATATCATCAAACACTAAAGTAGTTTAATTTCTTTAAAATTTTTTGTAATTTTTGAATTGAATTTCTTCTTTCCTATTTTCTTCATCCCAGGTGGCGAACTCACTAGAATTAGGAAAATATTAGGAAACAAGGAAATAATTGCTTAGCAAAACATAGTATTATCATAATATGGGATATTCATATCATTATATTAATAGTTATATTATACATTTACATATATATATATATATATATATATATATATATATATATATATATATATATATATATATATATATATATATATATATATATATATATATATATATATATATATATATATATATATATATATATATATATATATATATATATATATATAGTTATATTATTAAAATTACTATCAACTAATAGTTAAAGTTACTATAACTATTACTAATAGTTATAGTATAAAAATTGTAATCATAATGATATATCATATGATAAAAAAAATTATACTATATATATTAGTTATAGTTACAGTAATGGTATTATTATTATTAAATATGCATAATTAGTAGTAATAATATTGCTACTACTTTTTTAAAATTATAGCTAAGTGATCATATACTATATATTGTGGTAAATCTGCAGTTAAGCGGCGTAAAATAATTATATTATTTTGCTTTTTGCGCTCTCGTTCGCGGAGACTAAAAAACAAAAGAAATTCAAAACGAGTTTTAATTGCTTTTTATTGTTATAAGCAATATATACGACATAATGCTATTAGCAATATATCGTATATATTGCTTATAACAATATATTTGGTATATAAAATTATTGCTTATTGCTAAACCTTGGAATTACTAAGGCTTAGCAATAAGCAATAATTTTATATAGCTAATTCATATATTCAAAGTTATTGTTTAGCATTACTAATAGTAATGCTAAGCAATAACTTTGGAAATAAAAACATTAGAGATATATTTTAAATAGATATAACAAATACTAACAGGTAAAAAGATATTTGATGCCATTAGTTTAATAAAATAATTGAACGACTTCTTAGAGAGTAAAATTTAAAATAGATAACAGAAATCCAATTTTGTAAGTAACGAATAAATGACAGTTATTAAATAGCGCGCTTGTTTAAAACTAATATGGAGGCTGCAAGTAAACAACCAATCAAATTTAAAGATAATAGATGAATATTTGGAAAACCAAAATAAATTAAAACCCACGCATTTATTTTCTAAATAACCAATAGTTTTTCAAATATGAATTGTTGGAAAACCAATTTATTTTTGTTTCTCTTGCAAAAAACCAAATCATTTTTTGGATACGCCATAAAACCTTTGGGTTTTCTGTGAAACCGATCGATTTTCTAGATAATCAATGAAAAACCAATTTTCGTAAGAGTGTAATGGATTGATGTTTGAAAACGTTAATTATAAATACAGTGAAAATTCACTGTACCTAAGGATGCGTTTTTTGATAGGTACAGTGAAAATCTATTTTTAGAATATTTTTAAAATTTACTTTCATTTTCCAAAATGCGCATGCTTTAAAACAACGAGTATATTTTCGAAGAGAGTTCTTGAACAAAATTTAGTAGTTAGAAGATTTTCAATAAGATTCTTAAAGATTAAAAAATGGAGGACATTTTCATGAAGAATTTTAGAGATTTTGATGAAGCAGAAAAGTCTGTTATTGAATATTGTAGAATGAATTTTCACCCCGTCAAAATCGACTCAAAAGAAAAAGTTGAACATTATAATAAAAAAGTAAAGGAAGGTTCCCAGATATGTTGTATTCCTCTTAACGCTATATATGGTTGTAGGTGAGCCCTATATAATAATAATAGTAAATATTGATAGTATTGGTAATACCAGTAATAATAAGGTAAGCTGTGACAATTGCTGAAATAGATAAATAAGATAGTGGAACAAGTTCCACAATCACTTTTAATAGTATTATAATAATACTATTAAAAGTGATAATAATTATTGAATAATTATTATTGTGATATTAATAGATGATGTTTTGCTACTTATAGCATGCTAGCACAACATATTTTATTATTGTGTTCCACAATCAGTGAAATTTATTCAGCAATATTATTTGTTTCAGCAATATTATATACAATTGTATGTACAATTGTACATACAAATTTTGTACATACAATTGTATGTATAATTGTACATACAATTGTAATAAAATGTTTTAAAGTGACAGACAACACGTATATCTTTAAGTACAAGAGTTTTAATTAGCAAAATTTAAATCCGTATGGTAAAAAACAGTCAAATAGTTACAACTAAAGATGACTGAAAATTTCAATTATATTTTTCCCACTGAAAGAAACAAAGAAAAAAAAACGAAAGCAAAAGAAACAATAAAAATAACAATACATAGAGAAGTAAATTAATAAAAAAAAGAAATAATACAAAATTATTGCTCGAATAACGAACGAGCAGATGTATATTTTTATGTGTTTTTACATTTTCTTGTTGTTTTTATGCTTTTTTATTGGTACTACTATTTGTTGTTTATTTTATTACATTAAATGTTTTGTTTATTATGTTGTTTTTTTTGTTGTTATAAGTTCTTTTGTTTCATAACGTTTTTGTGTGTGTTTTTTTTGTTTTATTTTTATCAGTTTTTATTTTATTTATTTGTTTATTATTTTTGCAGTAATTTTATTATTATATGGTTATTATATTACAACAATTATGATTGTTATATTAACTAAGTCTTTAGAATTTTTAAACAATAGTTTTTTTTATATCATTGTTAGTTGTTACGTTTTGCTGTTTATACTGTTTTTAACTGTAACTGTTTATGTATAAATGATTGTTGTGTGGCATTTAGTAATGATTTATTTAAATTATTTAAATTTATTTTTTGTTTATATGACTATTATTCTTGCTAATAAATATTTATTAAATATTGCTATTATGTATGTGTTGTATTTATTACTATCATATGTATGGAATGTAGTTATAATTATTTGGTGTTACATTACTCTTATATAATGAATGTCTTAAACTATTTACTATTTATAATATTATTATTGTTATTATTATTTTCATTTTTATTTGTTATTGCCATTAATATCTGGTATTTACTTTGGATTAGTTCATTACTATTTGTAAATGACCTTGAGTTGTAACAACTTTTGTATTCTAAAATATAAATTGATTGATATTGATTGATATATTGATTGACTGATTGTGTTTGATTAAGACAATTTGTCCTGATTAAGACATTAGACTCAAAATTCAAAACAATCAAAATATTAAAATTATTGAAATATGAAACTGTTTAGATTTTTTTATATATATTACCATATGCTGTGAAACGTGAATAATTTTTTTTTCTAAAAAAGTTAAATTTTTGCGGGGAAAATGGCCTTATAAGATTGGAAAAAGATGTTAAAGTATAAAATATAATGTTAAATTATTTAAATAACAAGGACATTCATTGGCATTTTTTTACTAGAAAATTTCAGACTTTATTTTTATGTCTTTATAAATCAGTTAAAATGACTATAATTAAAAGTGTATCTTAATAATGATGTTGTTATTTCACTTGGCGGTTGAATTGTAAGTGATTTCAGACTATTCAACTTTGTAAGTATGTTTTTATGAGTTTATCTTTTACGAGTTTTATGAGTTTACTATGTAATTATGTTTTTATGAGTTTTTCGTGGTTTAAAAACTGTATACAAAGAGTTCTTGTTTTTATTTGCAATCATATAAATGCCAATTCTAATAATTATATTAAATTAACTATGACTACTTCAAAAAACACAAGACTCCCTATGAAAACAAAGTTATCAACATATTTAGGCAGAAGTAAGGATCTTATTCTGTCAGAAGTGCCAACTTTAAGAGATATTTTGAGAAAAGGTCTGCTTATCCAAGAAGCTCTACTTCAAGAAGATGTTAACAGGTAATAATCAAGAAACTCAAAATTTATGAAACAAATTATACATTCTGCATTATATTATATATTTTTGTCTTTAGAAGGAATATTTGATTGAGAGACTTTTCTCGACTACTAGCTGATATCGTTTTTCAGCAGTAGATAAAAGCAAATGCTCTTTTTAAACCTCCAGTGGTTATTGGAAAGAACTTTGATGGAAAAAATTGAGTTTTCCTGGAACAAGATCAAAGATATAGCACATGAGAAAGCTTCTCAGACACACGTGTCTTTTTGGGAATCAAAACTGGATGAATTTCTAGATATAACATGTGCAAGTGTGAAATTATGTTATGTAACGAGTTGTGTTTGAAAACTTATTCTTGCATCAAACAAGTACATATTAAATGAACTTGTGTAAAAGAGAAAAAAATTCCAAAGGTTGAACTTCTATGGCTTAATGCCCAAAGGAAAAAAAGAGGATCTGTTTCAAAATACCAGATGGGTTTCAATGATATTAAAGAGACCGCGAAACAGTTTTCGCGAGAGGAGAAAAAAATGAAGAGAAAGTCTAGAGTAGAGAAAAAATTAGAAATGGAAAAAAAAATTTAAGGTAGAAAATGACAACGTTGTTGAATGTTTAATTGAGGATTATTCAGATTTAAAAAAGAAAAAGATTTCAGAAGATCCGCTTCAAAACAAGATTTGGAAAAAAAATGTCAATAAGTCATATTGCAGAAGCTTCAATAAGATATGATATTTCACCAGTAGCAACATCAGCTATTATTACATCCTTTCTTCTAGACCTTATTGAAGCAAAGTATTTGATGCCTGATATGTCTTATTTACCTGTTGATCCTATGAAAGTAAGAAATAATGAAGAGAGTAATAATGTATGAAGAAAAGTTAATCGACAAAGAACCTATTAGAGGTTTGTTTATTGATGGCAGGAAGGACTCAACTTTTATTTTGGAACAGAATCCTCTAACGTGAAATTTATCCTCTAATGTGAAATTTATTTAGAAATCCTCTAAGTAAATTTCACATTAGGACTATAAAAGAAGAACATATAACTGTGACGTGTGAGCCTGATGGAAGATACCTCACTCATTACACACCACCTAAAGCTATACCGCCAAGCAAAACCAGCTCAGAATCCCTTATATTAACTCTTTTGTCAAGTTCAGATGAAGAATTGAGGAAGCTTACCATTAAAACAATTAAAGATATAAGGAAAACCTCGCAGTTCGGAGACACAGCAGTAAGGTCAAGAAAAAAGGTTTTTCTCAATACAGAAGCTTTGTCTATCAAAGAGCTAATAGATTGGGAGAAGGAAAAAATATCAGAACCAGTGTTTATGTGCCAAATCTCTACATACGATCTTGGCAAATAGCTGGTCACTTGCTTTGAAGCTCTGTACTTTCCTCTTCACACGCAATCTTGTGAAAGGGCAGTAAAAGAAGTTACAGAAGCAGCACTTTCGGTTTGTGGTTTTGAAAAAAGAGACGGTTTTGTGAGAGCACGAATGAATAACATAAAAACTTTGCCCAAGCTTTAATCAAAAAAAAATTTTAGTAACCTTTTCAAATCAAAATCATAAACCAAAACATTTTTATGACAATATTATAACTTAAATTTGTTTTGTATTAAATATTGTAAAGCTAAACGATGTTGTTAAGTTGAACTATAAAAACTTCATTCCAACAAATAAAGTCTGAAAATTTATTATGAAAAAAATTCCAATTTTTATATATTTTTTCAATCTTATAAGGCCTTTTTCCCTGCGAAAATTTATTTTTTTTTGGAAAAAAAAATTATTTACATTTCACAGCATATAATAATATATAAAAAAAAATCTAAATAGTTTCATATTTCAATAATTTTAAAATTTTGACCCCTCTTGCATTTATGCATAAATGAACAGTTTTACCTTTTCGAAAACTGCCATCCCGTCTAGGTAAAAAAAATTTTATTCAAATTTTTATTCAAATTTTTTTATTTTGGAAGTTCATTTTTACATATAGTGGCACCATTAAAATCATCCGCCGAATTCAAAATCAAAAATTTGAAAAGTATGATGCCCAGGCCCCACAAATTAGGGGCCCCCAAATATTTTAGAGGAGCTTTTTTTATTTTTTTATTTTTAGGCTTTTCCACATAAAACAGGCCTCCAAAAAAACAAAACACCCGGGCCGTATGATGTCTGAATCCGTCGCTGGTGGCCAGTGATGCGGTTTTACCAAAATACAACTATCTTACCTAAATAATATTTTGAAAACACTCTAAAACTCTATTAAAAAAATAAAATAACATCTTTCAAATCTATATACATTAAAAACTTAACAGAATTTATTTCTTTGTTTTTAACACGTAAGCCACTTTTAACCCAGGTAGCAACTGTCTATGTTGAGAACTAATATACCATCTCTTGCGCCTGGCCTATCTATGGTCATGGATGCAAATGTCACTTGTTTTACAGCATGCTCTGTACTTTGGGTAAAAATTTTAACTGAAGGAGTTATTAAAGGTGTCAATCTTAGCAATTACAAGTTACCTTTTGTGAGAAAACAAGTTAAAACAGGTTCTTGTACTACAGTATTTTTATGTTTATCTCTTGAAAAGTCTCGCTGCAAAATTCTTTAGGTATTTTTCTTGGTCTGATTCTGGTATCTCCAACAATATCGTTGCCTTTTTGTATCAAAATATGGTAAACTGCAAAGTTTACCATATTTTGTTCTTATTTTGTTCATATTTTTTGTTCTGCATTATTACTAGATAATGAAGACATTCATATACTTTGCATACCAAGCTCCTAGCTGGGCATAGGGTGTCATTCTTTCTTTTACCCTATCAGGTTGATTTCTGAAAATTCTCAATTGAAACAGAATGTGGAAGCATCTTTAAATTTGTTTTTTATTATGTTAAAAAAAGTTTAAAGTAATTTGTAAACAGAATAAGATAAGTAGCTCTAGATTTTTTAAGTTTTACATAGCTTATAATATTGTTTTTGATGCGTTGACATCTCTTTTAATATTGTTTCTGAAATGTTAACAAAGCTCTCTCCATCTGGGCAAGTTTTAAATTGAAGATTATACTCCATTTTATAAATATCAGGATATTTTCCTGTAGGATTTACAAATCCAGTACTAAATGATGTTGGTCCATTAATTCCTTTTATTAGGTGACACGAAAATAACTTGTTTAATCTATAAGTGTTACACATCATTTAGTAAGATTATATTTTTGCTAAGAAAAACAAACAACTTAAGGAAGCTTTGTAGCTGGTTTGTTCGAATGAATACGTGCATTCAGATAGATATCAAACACAAAGTTCTATAGCCACAGTAATGTGATTCTCTTGATAATAATAGAATGTAACTGTCCCTTCAAATTATTAGCATGTATTATCTGCATCTCAGACTTTCAACCTGTCTTATATCTTTGACTTTATATCATGAGCTCCATAGTTAAAATTCGTTTAGTAAAAATACAGCTGCAATTTATGTGTGCTATAATCGTACTATTTTTTGGGGATACCCAAACAGATTATGCTCATAAAAATATTGTATGAGGACTTGTTATGAGGTCTATTAGTTTAAAACTCTGGTATTAGTTCTTTTACCTTAGCTTCAGTTCTTCTTCATGCGATGTTTTAAATTGTTTTTCCCAAAAAGTTTTTATTCTATAATAAAGTGATTTCTCCCCAAAAATAACTGGTTGTTGAAACCTAACATTTTCATTTCTCCATTGAGCAAGAACAAATGAAATTAGATTGATTTTTGTTAGAACATTTATTTTGGTATAGACTGCATGTTGTGCTTTTTTGCTCTTGTTGTGAAATTATATAATATTTACTCTGTTTGTAAGCAACTAATTAGGAATAAAATCCTTTCCAAGTCCACTAAATCTAGCAATTTCTAGTGAAGGATAAATATAAAGCTTTCAACATTAATGAATAATTCAATTAAATAACTAATTGTGAATATAATAATAGTATCTAAATCACATTTTTATACGGCAGAGAGACAAGTCAAAGTCTCTTTTAAAATTAATTTGCCACTGCGCTTATAATGAGTCTAAACAAAAACGGATTAAATCTACTTTAATAGAAATTAATTTTATTTCATTTTAATAATGTCTAAATGTGAAAATTTGGGTATCAAGACATTTTCTAATCAAATAGTAGTCAATAGCAAACCTACCTTGAAATTTAATTTTACATAAGAGTAAACCTTTTCTTAAGCTTGATTTTTGCCTTTCTCAATCTCTAACACAAATAGTCAACTTTCCGGATAATCAGAATCATTTATCTTCTCTACTTGACTTATGTCTTGTTTCTGATCCTTGTCAATGCTCAGTTTCTCCACATTCACACTTAGGTTCTTCTGATAATGGTTTGATCTCTTTAAAGCTGTTATTTTATAAACCATTGTAACATGGTTTTGTCTAACGCCAAAACTCACTATTCCCAGGTCACAAAATATAGTATTTTTTCTCAGAAATTAGGCTGTCAAGACTTCTATAATAGGGGCAAATCTGTTATTCCACCTTTCTTGCACAGTTCAGATTTTGTTACTTCACTTAAAGACAAAGCTGAGTTATTCGCTAAGAACTTTTTATTTATCTCATTTCTTGATTCGACCAATCACATTCTACCTAATATAACCATCAAACAGGTTAATCCATCGCTTGACATTCTTATCACCCCAGCTTCTGTATCAAAAGTGATTTCTTGCTTAAACTTCTTCAGCCTGTGGTCCAGATGACATACCTGTCATAGTCTTGCAGAAGTGTTGTTCGGAGCTGTCGTCTATACTTTCAAAACTATTTAACAAATGTTTATAGAAGTCATTTTTTGCCGCCCTGCTGGAAAGCTGTGTCTGTGTTTCCTATTTTTTTAAATTTTAGATAGCGATCCGACTTGTCTATCTATCATCCCATCAGTCTTCTTACTAGCATAAGCAAGGTTTTTGAGTCTTTAATTAACACACAATTAATCTCTCATCTTGAATCTAATAATTTACTTTCTGATCTGAAATATGGATTTCGATCTTCTCATTCTACTGCTTAATTATTAACGATAATAACTGATAGGTTTGATCGTGTGTTCGATAATTGTGGAGAGGCTAAGGCCATTGCTCTTGACATTTCTAAAGCCTTTGATAAAGTTTGGCATTCGGGTCTTTTCCTTAAGCTTTTGTCTTACAGTTTATCAGGTAATGTCTTAAAGATTATTGAATTCTTCCTTACTAATCGTATTATAAAAGTTATACTTTGTGGACAGCATTCTTCTCATTTCCGGTAACTTCAGGGATTCCTCAAGGTTCCATCCTTGGTCCTATACTTTTTCTAATATACATTAATGATCTCCCTGAAACTCCCACATCTTAGGTGGCATTGTTGGCTGATGACACTAATATTTATTCTTGTCTTGATAAAAACCAACACTCTCTGATTGCTTGGAGAGTTATCCAAGCTTAAAATAGATCTGCTACAGCAGATCTATTTTAAGCTACTTCTGCTACAGCATGGGGTTCTCAGTGGCTGGTGAACTTGAACTCAGATAAAACTAAATATTTTTCAGCCAATTGTTATCGCAATAACTTTTATCTTCCTAAATTTATGAACGGTAATATAATTGATGAGTCATCTTCTTATCATCTTTTAGGATTAACTATTACTTCTGATCTTATATCAAATTGATATCAAAATTAGCATCTTCTAACCTTGCATCTCTTTATTTTGTTGCCACTTTTAGACTCCTATTTCCATTCTTTATCTCTATTAATAATTTATCCGTCCTTCTACGGAATACTGTTGAAATATCTGGGAAGGATCTTCCGAAGATGCTCTTTCTCTTTTAGACAAGGTGCAAAACTTAGTTGGACCTGCTCTTGCAGCCAACCTCCAACCATTATCATATGATGTTGCTTCAATCATATTGTGGTGATGTTGCTTCTCTTAATTTCTTCTACAAGTACTAAAATGAGCTCTGCTCTAAAGAGCTAGTGTCTCTTACGCCATCTGTTAAAATTCATTGTCGTGTTATTAGTCATTCAATTAAGTCTCATCCTTTTATTTTTTCCTAAGTGTTTCAAAGATTCTTATTTATCTACTTTTTTTCTTCGAGTATCAGTTTTACATTTAATTCACTTCCTTTATCTTGTTTTCCTGATTATTATAATTTTCAACTTTTCTTTTTTTTTTGTCTGTTAATCGTTATCTTGCTCTATAATCTTTATCTTTTTTTTTTCCAGTAATTTCTAACATAAATAGTGCTTCCTTGTTGCAAGTGAAGAAAAAAAAAAATTAATAATTTGCGATATTTTAAAAATAAAAATATTAAAAATAAAATGTTACTTAAATATTAAAATTTACAGATTTTTATTTTTACAGGTGGATATGCAAACATTATGGAGAAGTAATGCCCAGTGTCTTAAAGAGAGGCAAAGGGTTACGAGAAAATAGCGTGCTAGCAAGTGGTTGTAAGATGGCTATTTATGTAGCCTATAAAAAAGAAATAAGGAGTTATTATATTAAGAAAAAAAATTTAGTTCATAATCATCCACATGGGCCTGAGCAGTTCGGTATGTATAGTTCAAAACGTCAACCAAAAGGTGTTCTCGAGCAGCAGACAATGCTTCTGCTATCTCATGGTGCTAATCCTACACTTATAACAGACAATTTAAACAGGCATGGTTTAAAGACTAGACCTCGTGATATATATAACATAAAGCAAAGAATGAAATTTAAAGGTTTTTGTTATGGTTGAAACTTCAATTTTAAATTGTATGACTTTTCTAAAAGGTTAATTATCTTTTCTAAAAGGTTATTTTTTTCCCTATAAAATAAACAGGTCCTGCACTCGATGAAATTATAAAGGTTCTTGAATTACCAAACGTCATATCCCATATTGATGCCAATCTTGATAGAAAAGTAGAGTGTATAACGTGGACAACTACTGAACAAATAAATTTGTTGAAAAAGTATCCTGAGTGTATCATGCTTGATGGTACCTATAAGGTTTGTCTTAACATTGGCTAAGTGTGTGGCGTAAGATTTTTTTTGAGGGTATAAATTCTATTTAAAAAAATAGGTATTTATAAAAATAATGAATTGCTATTAATAAATTTCCTAATAATATCCAGATTAACAACTTTTCTATGCCATTATACACAATGGCTGTTGTGGATCAAAATGGCATGGGCCGACCTGTAGTGCAGTCTTTAGTTTATCGTGAGGACCAGTCACATCTACAGCTGCTAATGACACATGCTAAGGAATGGGCTGTGATTGAAACTTTTCAAAAGTCGATGTTCATGGTTGATAAAGCTCAAGCAGAAATATCTGGACTACAGTCTGTTTTTCCAGGAAATAAAATATTTCTCTGTCGCTTTCATGTAGCTAAAGCTTTTATTTATCAAATTAAAAAGGGTAGACTTACTGCTGACGATCAGGAATTATTATTCAAGGTTTGCAATTATAATATTATTTTTAATTATTTTTAGTTTATCTTACTAACAATTGGAAAATTTATGAATAAAACTATTGTAAAAATGCAACTATGCTCTCACTTAACTATTTAAATGTTTCATTAGGCTACTCAGAAATTAATGTACGGTAATCAGGCAACATGCGCTGAAGCTTTGTTAAATATTGAAAAAAATTTCCCTACGTTCTATGTGTATCTTCAAGAAAACTGGCTGACCATACCAGAAATGTTAATGGGTCACTATAGAAAAGGTCTGATGCATTTAGACAATCATACTCATAACAGACTTGAAAGGTGCTTATTTTAAGATGACTTCATTATTTTTAATAGAAAAGTCTTGTAATGGAAAAAGTTTTAGATCGAATAAGTTAATTATTTTATGAATTATTTAACAATAATTTTATAACAATTAATTATTGTTCTGATTAGATATCATAGAACACTTAAAGATGTTGGCCTTTTGTCACGCATGTCACCGGGAAATCTTATAGATAAAATTCTTAAGGTTAATAGAGTACAAATAGAAAAATCTAAACATGCAGACTTTGACCAACAACTAAAAATTAACAATAAACTTCCAGAGCTACTAAAGTTTTATTCATGTCATGTTTCTTCCTTTATTCTTCGTCATCTCATGGAACAATATGATAAAAGTGTCAAGTCTGATTTTAGTTTATATGAGGTTAATAATTTTTATTAAATGTACTCCATTTTTTATTATTTTTTGTTTTCCAATAAGATTTGCTAGTCAATCATTACTTATTTTATGGTGTTTTAGGACAGAGATTCATTACAAATAATCGATCGGCAATCAACTTTTTATAACATAATAGACTAGGTTTGCATCTGTGATGCTGCATCAGGGTTTGGCGTGCCGTGTGCACATGTTTTTTTTGCTCTAAGAACGAAGAATATAACTGTTAATGATCTACAGTTGATTCATAAAAGGTAACCTTGGGTTTTCTACTAATTAATAATAATAAAGGTTCGTAATATTATATAACTTCATGACCTTATTTAAATTTCAATCCACTTATGTTATAGATTGCTAAATTAAAATTTATTTGAATAATAATCAATTTACAATTTAGTAGTCAAAACATGTATTGTAATGTTGCACGCAATTTATTACTTATTAAATGTTCTGAGTCATTGTTTATTCTAGAAAAAGTTACTTTAAAAAGTTACCATGCCATTCAGGTAATCTAAAAAGCAAAACAAATGATGTATCGATGATCCCCTATTTGCATTTTTTAATGCTAAATTGATTGTCTGTTATAGTTCAATAAATGAAATAATTACTTTTATTTAATTGGCTAGAAGAATTCTTTTTTGTGTACACTGAAATAAAAATTTTAAATACATTTTTTAACCTACTTTACACTAGGATAACAGAAATTATTTACATTGACATAAATTTATTTAGGTTGATTTCATGCAATACTGTAGCAAACCAGGTAAGTTTTGACCAAGCGCCATCACATATTACCTCAAATATAGAATTATTACATCTCTGTTGTGCCACTCCCAAACAAAGATTTACAACAGCAATGAGTTACCTTCAACCAATAGCCTCTTTGCTCGCTGAAATGCCACCCAAAAAATTTGAACTTGCAATAACCTGGTTAGAATCTATTAATCAACAATGCATTTCTGGTGAATGGGAACTGATGGTATGTCAATGGATTTTAGATGCTTTCAGTTTTCAAATCATTAAAGAACTGCATTAGAAAAATGTTTTGTTTATTTTAGTTTCAAAGTGATCCTTGTCTAGAAGTTTTTACACCTGCAGAAGATCACAGTGATCCTTGTCTAGGAGGTTTTACATCTACAGTAGATCAAAGTGATCCTTGTCTAGAAAGTTTTACATCTACAGAAGATCTATCATCAAAAGAAATTTTAGAAGTTAAATCACCTTCAAGTGCAGATCCTATGATTACCCCACTTGAATGCATAAATAAAGAAATATGTGAAGTAGTCTCTCAAGAGCCACATATAAATTTAGTTTTAAGGCAACCCCAGCGGAAGCCACCTGGTCGTGTAGGTAAAAACAAACAGAGACTTTTTGACAAAGCTATAAAAGCGTTTGAAAAATTAGGTAGTTTTGAAAAAGATCATATCCGTCTCTGTTGGTTTGTAGAAAGAACAGTTGCCCTGCAGGTTTTACACGAGAGTGCTAAAATTACCACCTGCCAGTTTTTAAAGCAGTTATCGAATAAGATTGCTGATCCTAGAGCAAGTCTTGATGACATTAAGCAATATTTTGTAGAGGATGCATGGGCTGAAGTCATCAAACGGTGTGAAGATGTGAGAATTGAAAAATGGCCGTGTCAAGTATGCGGGCAGTCTAAGGCAGCTGGAAAAAACCAAAAATGGCTTCAGTGTGATCATTGTTTAGACTGGTCGCATTATGTTTGTCTACAAATATCTTGCAAACCTAAATGATATTGGTTCTGTGCTCAATGTAAAGTAAGGAAATAGTGGAATTTAGGTTCATATCCTAATATAAAATATTTTTAAAGGTTTTTAATATCTATTTATTTAGCGACATAAATAAATATTAAAATGTTTATTATTTATTATTTATAGAAACGGTTAGTATATTATAATATTTATAAAGAGCATACTCCATATTTATTTTTATTTATTTAATATATTATAATATAAATTAATATATTATAAAAAACATTAAAAATAGCTTTTAATTGGCAATTAGCTTTGTGTTTCTTTAGCTAGTGTCCCTTTTTTGCAAAATTCTTGAACCTGATAGTTAAAAATACTTTTTTTGAAATAGCCCTTTATACTACTTTTGAAATAGCCCATGCTACTTTCTAGCGTTTCTTAGTTTAGTCTTTTTTAAGCTTACACTTAAATATTGTTATATGTAGAAATGATTTTTGCTTATCTCTAAATATTTTTTATTGCAAGCTACATTTTATTGTTTTTGATATTTGTTATTGCTTAGCTTTGAAAAAATTAAATTTCATTATTATTTTTGTTTCTTTGGAAACCATTATTTTAAATCAGATTTTGGAATTTTCAAATTGCTGAATTTTGTAGATTTTTGATTTTTAATTAAAAGTTAGTAATTCCAGGCTAGAATTAGAGGTATTTGAAGAAAATATCAGCTTTTTTAATTAGATATTTTTCTGCTATTTGGTAGAGCATCAGGTTTTGGCGGAAAGTGAGAGTTGCAGCTCATGGGTCATTATTTGAGCTTTGATTAGTCATGATACATTTTTTAAACATTATGTTATGCATTGTATGATGTATTATAATATAATGTATCATAGTTTATATCTAATGTATCATAGTTTATATCTAAGATAAAAAAATGACAAAAATGCTTCCTGCATTAAAATAAAGTTAGAACAAAAGTGTTAGACATGTTGTTAGGCATTTTTCTTTTTTAATTTGTTTCAGAAATTTTATAAAGATACTTTCAGTGCTTAACTTTGATAACGTTCATTTGTTTTTCATATTGCATTCGAGAACTTTTTAATTTTGTTGTGTAAAGTGATATTTTAACTGTGCAGCTTTATTTTAATTTTATACCTTTTCATAAAGTCAACACGAAGTTTATGTTACAGAATGATTTCTTGTTAATTTTTATTTATTAGTTTACTTTGAAAATACATCATGAAAATAAGTGTAACTATTATTAAGTGAAATAATGTGTAACTATTATTTTTAGCAATGTTTCAAAGACTATTATTTTTATCAATGTTTTTAAGTCTAACAAAAGGTTAACCTGTTTCTCTGGTAAGACAGGAAGAGTTTTTTATAGTCATTATAGTTGTATAATATATTATAATCAAGGAATGAATTAGAGGAAAAGTTATTTGCATATAATTTATTCTTGGGAGTTATAAGATGAGACCCATGAAATAGAGCTGGAGAATTAGATTATCCTTTGTTGTTGACACTGTTAAAGTAAGTACAGTACCTGTTTATTTTCATAAAAGTTTTGTTTTGTTGTTGTTGATAATAATTTTTTAAATATGACTTTTTAAGGGAAGTTCATTTGTATTTTATCTTTATGTTCGCCTTTTTTCATTTAAACACTGGTGTGGAAGGTAATTTTTGTAAGTTATGGAATTTATGCATAGTTATTTGGTTTTGTGCTGTTTCATTTGCTTAATTCGTTTTAGATTAGTTGAAGAGAGATTCAGACACGTAGGCTTTACTCCTTTTATTTAATCTCTTTGTTTACATCTTTACAAAATATTTTACTTTAATTAATTGTAAAATCAACCATTGTTTTTAATTTAGTTATGAATGAGTCTATGAATTAGTCTGATAGCGAACAAAAAGTTGCATTCTTTATCACAACTTTAAGATGTACAAGACTCAAAGTTTTTTATATCTTTATTGTTCCCAATATTCAACATTGCATTATGTTGAAAATATTGGAAACCATAAAAATCTATGAATTGAAAACTACAAACTAATTAGAAAAACAGAAGTTATATCATCTTCAATTTAAATTGATTACTTAAAACCACACGATGTTTTTCAATAACGCAAACAACGACTGCTACATCAGCAGCAGCAGTATCAAAAAAAGCAGGTAAATTGTTTTTATAGATGGATTATTTTTTTTCGGATGTTCCCGGTATTCCGGGTATTTTTCAAGACTTTTTGTTTTCCGGATATCCTCAATTATTTCAATGCATACAAGTTTAAGTATGCATTTGTGTAAATGTTTGGAGCTTTTTAGTCATCACTCATACAAAAAAATGATAAAATTAACTCAGCTGAAGGCAAAAATTAAGAGAAAATTATGAGAAAAAATATTATGCATATTGTACGCAAAGAAATTTCAGGATTTTTAAATTATAACCTGGACGATCTATGTTTTATAAGTGGTGTCTTCTCCCTTTTTGTATGCATAAAAAAAAGGAAAAACCTTTTTAACTTTTTTCAAGACTTAATTTTCAAACACTTTCTGTTTTTCTGTAATGAGGGTTTATTATTAAAAAAAGCATTAATGGAACTGTAGCTGACACCGTTTTTGTGGTAGCTATTTATGTTATATGTTTATATATGTTATATGTTTGCTAAAACTTATAATACTTATTTATCCACTATTTATATTGTATCAATCATATATATTTCTGAACAAGGTCTTACAGTCAAGGATACTTACAATTACTTTAAAACTAATATAAAGTAAAAACCTAACGATAATCATATTAAATAATATTAGTGATACAAATAAAAATTATAAAGATAATAGTTATAAATTATCAACACCAATAGCAACAAAAATGGTTTAAATTATAATAAAAATAAATCAATATTTTAAAAGAAAAAATTAATATTATATACATAAACAGGGGGAAAAAAAAAACAATGGTTAATTAATATTTACAACATCTATAATCATAAAATATTATTTGACCACAAACAAATATTAACTTTATTAAATGATTATATTTATTAGTTAAATATCTGATGCTATGTGTTATTATTGTAAGTAATCAATGTGTTGTCGTGTTTTAGTGTTGCTAGATAGCTTGACTTAATTTCCCGCTGATGTCTATTTTTAAAAACGACTATTACTTGTTTCATTACTGGAACTCACAACTTCTAATTTAAAAAATAACTAAAAGATTTTTCTTAGTAATTGGTTTAAAGCTGAATTTGATTTTTATCTTAAGACCGAAGAAGTTGCAAAACCTGTCATTACTGCGAACTGGCATAGGCGCGAATCAGTATAAGTGCACCATAAGAACTTATAGACATCAGCTTAAGTGCAAACTGGTATAAGTGCGATGCAGTTGCATAGAATGGCATAAGTGCAAGTGGATTAAGTGCGCCAAAAATATTGCAAACACTGCCATGAGTGTGCATCATCATAAGTGCGAACTTATAAATAAAATTTTATTAATAAGCATTTAATGGACTCCTGCAACAAAATTAATATATATACGGTAAAAAAATATATATGACATTTTATTTTCTGAGATATATTCCTTAATTACTTCCACTCTATTAACAACTCCTCGCCTGGGTTTTTTATGTTACTTAGCTAATACATTTCAATGAGCATTATGCTTTTCCCTTTCAAAATAACAACATTTTTATTATTTTAACAGTTTCCTCGTGAATTTTCACTGTACGTAACTTTTTAAACTAATTTTCACTGTACTGTAACTTTTTAAACTAATTTTCACTGTAACTTAAAAGCTTTTCTGATAAATACGGTGAATTTTCGCTGTACAGTGAATTTTCACTGTATTTAGCGAAAAACGTTTCCTTAGGTACAGTGAATTTTCACTGTATTTAGCGAAAACGCTTATTTAGGTACAGTGAATTTTCACTGTATTTAGCGAATAGCGCTTTCTTAGGTACAGTGAATTTTCACTGTATTTAGCGAAAAACGCTACCTTAAGTACAGTGAATTTTCACTGTATCTAACACCAAGCGTTTGAAAAGACAACAATTTGTCAACGTAATAGTTGCCAAATCGAACACAAACTTGACAATAGCAGCTAAGATGAGATGAAAATAATGCAAAGTAGAGATTCTGAAGAGCAATTTTATTGACAAATTATTAAAAACTATTAGATTAAGTTAGTTTCTTACAAAGTTCATCGTGATTTAAGTTCATCGTGATTACAAAGTTTATCGTGATTGCAAAGTTCATTTAATTGATTACGAAGTTCATCGTGATTTAATTGATTACGAAGTTCATCGTGATGAAAGTTCATTATGAAACCTCCAAAATATGAACAGTCAATACTGCTTATATTTGGACTGCAAATACTGTAAGATATTTTATTACTCTCAAATGAAATAACTGTTTTTTACTGGTTTTAATTTTAATTTCAACATTGCTATTAAAAAGTTTCTTTAAGGAGTTTAAAAAAATTAGATAACTAGGTTACCAGAAGATAGTAGGTTATTTAGATAAATTAGGTTACCAGTAAACTATCGGTTTTAAATCCGAATTTATATTTTTATATTGAAATGTTTTGTTGAATTGCAAGATATTTGTTTCACATGCAAACAGATGAATTAATAAGAGGTGAATAGAATTGTTTAAATTATTAACGTATATTAAAAAGTTATAGGAAATAGAACAGACTTTTAAAGAACACCACATACAACAGGTTGATTTCTAGAATTATAACTGTTAATACTTAAAAAAATGTTTCCGATTAGAGTAAGATTAAAACCAGTCTTTAACAAAATCACGTGTTCCATAATATTCTAATTTAGATATCGAAATATTTATGATCAACGGTATTGAAAGCTTTTTGTGAATTAAAAAAACTCCATAAGCTAAATAACTAGCATCAAAAGATTTTCTGATTTTTTTTCAGCTATACTTTATTTCAATTTTATTTAGGTGCCCCAAGAAGTCCTTACGGTCATATTACAGAGCATCGCGGATAAGCATTTAATTTGAAGTTCACGCCTCCTTCCTATCCGATGTCGCAAAATTTGCCCAGAGTTGGGGATTGAACTACGGTTCCTTTGTTTCTGAGGCAAGTGCGCTACCACTGCGCCATGGCTGCTCTATTTATTTACTAAAAATTTTTTTGGCTATACCCAATAATAATTTTTTCAGATGTACTTATCTATGACTTTTTCAATTATACTTTTTAATGATTTTAACAGTTATA